ATGTATTAATAGTTCTACATCTGAGCAAAATATATGGATAATTTCATATCTGAACATAGCAAGATGCTACATATTCATGAGAAGTTCTTTAGAAGTTAAACTAGTCATAATTTTAAACATGGTAAAAGTATTCAAAACATCCAAAAAATCCTTGTTATGTAAAGCATACTGTTGAAAGTGCACTGAAGCCAGCATCATATTCCAAGCTAATACAAAGCTGTAGGAAATTTATCTATGAAAAATCGGTACTCTTCTGTTATCAGGTCTGGATTCAGAAATGTACATATGTATGTGCATATACTATATGGTACACATTCGTATGTACGAGCATATATGCATGCAACACAAACACATATGTCCATACATACATTTCTGAATCCAGTCCTGATAACGGAAGAGTACCGAAAAATCAAATAAACTCAAAAACTAATGCTGCAAAACTTACAGCAGATTTAGAAAAACGGTTTCCAATAAAAATTAATCCTGAAAGTGCAAGAAGAAATATTGCAGCATTTGGATACAGCAGGTGTTTAGCAAGAAGCAAATTCTTTATCAACAAGAAAAAAAGGAAAATACACCAGACATTTACAAAATTTATGGAAGCCAAGATTTATTAAAAAACCAAAAAAAAAAAAAAAAAAAAAAAAAAAAAGATTCTATTTGCAAAGGAGTTAAAATTTAATACATTTAGATCTGCAAATGGCTATGTAGAGAAAGATGAAATCTTCTGGGACAGGAAATATACAAGCTGATCTTTGGAATATGGTAACTGGTAGTTTGGCGACATTTTGGAGGCGATAAAGGTTACTACCTAGGACTTTGGTAATAATGTGAGAATCGCTCAGTTCCGATTACGCATTATTTTGTGTGAGGGAAATGAGAGATCATGAGATATGTCATGTGACATTAATGGACGAATTAAAGTTGTTTAATCAGAAAAGGGGGGAAATCTGGAAATTTCGTATTTAGCTATATTCTCTGTGTTGTGTGAAACGTGACATAATGGACAAATTACAGTTCTTTTAATCGGAAAAGGGGGTTAATTTGGAAAAGCTTCATTGTGTGTTGTGTGAAATAGTGTTGATTCATTTTCGGATTGCATGGCGCCATGTAAAGTGAATTCTAAATTTTTAATGCGTTTATCTGATAATAATAATAAGTTGAGATTGTGTGAAAGGAAGGATATTACAGATAAGTTTGAATGGCTGTGCAAGAAATCTGGTGAAAAATGGACATTTTGTGAAACGGAGTGTAAGGAAGGGTACGTGGTTTACTGAAAGTAGTTTGAGTATAGGTGAAATTTTATTAATTTCTTATTACTTGGTGAATAGACTTCCAGTTGACTACTGGATTTAGGATTTAGAAATTAGCAGTAGTACTGCAGCGACGTAATGAAGATTCTGAAGAAGATTAGGTAAGTTAGTATTTATAATCATTTGAGGATATTATTTTTATGCATTGTTCTAAATGTAAGGAGTAAATAAATTAAAATGGTATTATTTGAAAATTGTTATTAGCAATGATTTAGTTTAAAGTAATTAGGATTGTAATCTAATTTTTATTAATTTAATGTAAGTGCTTATTTAAGTAGTGTTTTTTAATTTAATTATATATTTTAATTTAATGATCCTGATTTTGTGAGTTATATGTTTGTAGTATTTTGGAATATGTTTGAGTAGTATACGTTGAGTATTTTCATGCATTTTCGTGAAATTTTTCTAATTTATGAGAAAAAAGCAGTGTACATGGATATAGTGAAGAGTGTGTGCAATGCCATTTTTGTGCAATTGTGGGATGTTTTTTTAAGTAAAAATAAGTCGACGTGTACATGGTTTAGTGATATTCTAATTAAATGATAGTTATTTTGTGAATTTTATGTTTGTAGGAATTTGGTATACGTTTTAGTTGAAGTAAACGTGCATGAAAATATTTTAAGTATTTGACACTAAGTATTTGTAATGTTTGCGGTATGAATTCGTTGGTGACGTTTATAATATAATAGATAATTTAGAGGTAAAAGTTTTTGGATATTTTATTTATTTTATACGTGGAAATGTTCATATTTGGAAAGGGTATATACTTTTTTCGCGATAAGGTAATTTCATATATGTTCTTTTTACCGGGTTTAAAGATTCAGAAAATTGTCATGCATTTTTTCGTGAAATTTTTTTCTAATTTATGAGAAAAAAGCAGTGTACATGGATATAGTGAAGAGAGTGTGCGCAATGCCATTTTTGTGCAATTCTGGGATTTTTTTAAGTAAAAATAAGTCGACGTGTACATGGTTTAGTGATATTTTAATTAAATGATAGTTATTTTGTGAATTTTATGTTTGTAAGAATTTGGTATACGTTTTAGCTGAAGTAAATGTGCATGGAAATAATTTAAATATTTGACACTAAGCATTTGTAATGTTTGCGGTATGAATTCGTTGGTGACGTTTATAATATAATAGATAATTTAGAGGTAAAAGTTTTTAGATATTTTATTTATTTTATACGTGGAAATGTTCATATTTGGAAAGGGTATATACTTTTTCGCGATCAGGTAATTTCATATATGTTCTTTTTACTGGGTTTAAAGATTCAGAAAAGTTGTCATGCATTTTCGTGAAATTTTTCTAATTTATGAGAAAAAAGCAGTGTACGTGGATATAGTGAAGAGTGTGCGCAATGCCATTTTTGTGCAATTCTGGGATGTTTTTTTAAGTAAAAATAAGTCTACGTGTACGTGGTTTATGTGTATGTGTTATTGTGGAAAAACGCGCAAGGAGTGGTTTATGTGTATGTGTTATTGTGGAAAAATGAGCAAGGAGTTTGCGATTGTGCACTTTTCCCCAATTTTGCAGTGAATATTTGTCATGATTAAACAGTTTTGTTAGATAAAATTTCTAGTATAAGTGTAATTTGGCTAGTAGATTGTTGGAAAAAGTGTTCAGTAAATAAAAAGAAAAGAAACATGTCTTTACTTCGTGAAGACAAAATGGCGGCGGAAAAAAAAAATAGAGGGTTGCTGTAGCAGAGTTGGTCGCCAAGTTACCATAATCTAAAGATCAACCAATATACATTTTATAGAAAATAATATGGATAAGTATAAATATTTGCAGTGACAGCATGTGGAAGAAAACTTCGACTTCAAAATATGGTACTCTTCTGCAGGGCTTAATTTCTAAAAGTAGAAGGGCCGGAGCCCTATGAAAGAGGAACAAGAGTAAATAAATAAACAAAATGACTATTAAAATCATTACTAATTTTTAAATTAAATAGTTAATGAGTATCAAATTAATTAATAATTATTTTAATTGAAAAATATTAATTAATATTTATTATTGTTTAACTTGTAATTATCGTTTAATTAATTCACAATTTATTATTAATGTATTAAAATAATTAAAGATTAAAGTAATTAAATAAAATGTAAAGAGATAAATTTAAATTTAATAAGCGATTTTTTTTTATATAATTTTATTGCTAAAAATAAAATTCTCTACTAAAATAACTGTTCCGTTACATAAAAAAGTTCCAGAGCTTTCTTATTTAGGGCTCCGGTGCACTCCAACTAGAATTAGAATATATCCCAAAAAAATAAGAGGTACCGGCACAATTTAAGCTCTGCTCTTCTGTTAGCGGGCCTGGGTTCAGAAACATTCATGTGTATGTATGCATATATATACAAAAACTGGGACTGGATTCAGAAATGTATGTGTGAACATACATTCATACATATGTATGTATACATGCACACACACTGGAACCCGTACCGATAACAGAAGAGTACCCGAAATACATTCAAGTCTTAATCTGAAACATAACAACTACATACATAAATGTTCACTTGTGGTTATTATATAGTTCTGAAGTTCATGTTCTGAAACTTCATGTTCTCTACACCTTTTTTAATGGCCGGGTGCTTTAATAGCCTGTAGCCTTGCACCACTACAATGGCAATATGTGATGGTCATTCCATTCTGGAAGCACACAATAGCTGACCGCCGTTGCCTCCTATGAAGTGATGGATAGTTACAACCATGCCTTTTCTGGGATTCGAACCCGGGCCCATCGCTACAGCAACCAGTGTCACTAACCACTATACCAGCTGGGCAACGAAATTCTCCAAACTTAAATCTTATTGAACATACATTAAGCAAGTTGGAGGAAGAATAGGGAAACATGACATTTCTTCTGAAGCTCTACTAAGAGCAATTTCTATGGAGGAAGAGTACAAAACAGAACATTCTCATAGTAATAAATGAATTGAACCCATGCCAAAGTGTAATTCTAGCTAAAAAATATCCAAAAAATATTCAATCTCGTTGTTTGCGTGTTTTTTCTAAAATAAAACCGTTTGTTGAAAGTCTCCGAATACTTACGTGGATTCATTTTCAGAATTTTTTTTTAATAAATAGTTTCCCCCCCCCCTGAAAACTTTTCCAAAGCAAGCAGGTTTTAAAAATGGTGATTAATCGCGTACGCGAAAAAAAAATAAAGTTATTCCGATAACACTTAGTAACTGACATTTGATGTTCGCCCGGAAACAAATATGAGAAACTGTATTATTCTGCCACAATATTAAATCAAAATCTCGCGCGTTCCAGAGACCAACATCGCATTTTTATAAAACAGCAAAAGTTTCTAAAAAGTCTCATACCTCGTTTGGACCTCCATCGCCGCTCATATTTAAACGTAATAATAATGTTTTGATATTTAATTTATCTCTTAAAAATCTTGCCTTGATTGTTATCATTAATCGTAAGGCGCCATCTGTTGGATTACTTTTAATCATGTTGTCAAAACCAAAACAAACTCAATTCACGTTTACAGGCAATTATTTATGCAAATATCGACACACACACACACACACATATATATATATATATATATTGTTATGCTGCATGCTATTATATAAAAATTTATTTTTTGTCGTAATGAACTCAAATTAATTCAATATTTTGAATATATTCTATTACTACCAGATGGCATCTTTCTCAACAATTGCGAATGACACATTAAATTAAAATTAACTAGGATTGATTTTTATTTACAGGTTAAGTGTAAATTAACTGGAATTAAATTACGGAATGGTTTGCTTAAATCTAAAGTACAACAGATGAGGACTTTATGTAAACAAATTGACCAATATTACATCACCTTCTTTCGTTTAATGTGCTTTCATGCATGCAATTTTTAAACGTGGATGATTCTAAAAAATAATGACCTCCTGGTATTGGATGACATCTTTAAAAAGCATACATCTTTATTATATAAGCTATGTGTATTATCCTTTCAGGTATAGCTAAACCTCTGTTTTCAGTAGTCTGATTGAAGTTTTGTTAAAAAATCGTGAAGTATAGTTTTTAAAATAAATATACGTAGTTAAAAGTAATATTTGACTTCGAAAGCAATCCTACTGTGATGCGTCAACACTTAACATTTTGTTCTAATTTGTCTTAGTACTTTTGCATTACAGATTTTAGGAATTAACAGAAGTATAGAACGATTTCTTAAGAATTTTGTGGTAGTAATTTCTCATGCTCATGATATTGCTGGATTGAATCCTTAGAGAACATCCAATCTAGACTCAAAATAATAAAATGCATGTAATAGTGAGAAAAACTGGAAAAGGAATTTTCGTTATTATTTTAATACATAATTTGCCCTGCCATCAAGAAGCTCTTAAATAGTTTATTGCATTTGTGTACTCTCTATGCATGTCCCATAAATGATTTTATGGAAAGAATAATATACACTGCAATAAAACCCTGATGGTTTTTCTTGCAGTGTATCTAATAATTAATATTGACATGTAAAGATTTTTTGCTGGATTATGTTTTGATGTATTTTGCTTGGCAGTGCAATTTGAAAGTATTTCTTAGTACCATTCAAATTTTTCTCAACATTTTTGACTTTTATTTCTCTCCCATCAAAACTACATTCGCATACCAATCTATCATCCACCTGTTGGTAACCAAAAAACTATAAAATGAATATTTATTGATGATGGTATATGAAATATGAAACATGAGATTTAAAAAAGTGAACATCTGTTTTGTATTCTTAAAAGCTGAAATAAATTATTTAGGATTTAAATTAGCTTGTTTATGATTTATTTAATCTTATATATTTATTTATGTAAAATTAATAAACTTACTTCTCCTTAAATATAGTGGTTATAAGTTTGATTTTTGTGTAAATGCCATACATATGTTAAAGTTGACATGTAAACAAATTTAAAATGCTTTATGTTTTTCTATGCATTTAACTAATTTCTTTTAGGTTGTGAAATGCGAGGAATTTTTTTTTTTTTTTTTTTTTTTTTTTTTTTCTGTGTCAGGAAGGGTATATGCTGGCTTTATTCCTGCATGATCATTTTCCTGAGGTAGAAAATGAAGTCGTCTAGAATTTATGCCTGCAGTAGATTTTAAGTGTTTATACTTTATTGATGCGCATGTTTAAGTGTTTATACTTTTATTGATGCGCAAATGCTAAAAGTACTTTTGAGTGGAAGATTAGAATACTGCTGATTGGGCTATTAAAATTACAACTGCTGAAAATTTTACTGTTTTACATGCAAACTTTTACTATAAATTGTGAATTTTTTTAATGAAAAAAAAAGAAATTTATCTAAAGTACTTGAGGGGATACAGGTATTTTGCAGTATGTTTCATTATTGTATGCTCCAGCATGTAGTATCAATGATTACTAAAATCCAGCATTTCATTAAAAAATATAAAAATTTCAAATCATTAGCCCACTCAATTTTAGTGTTATAGTCATTGTCTTTGCATAACATTTATAACCTTGATTTCCATGATACAGTATGATGTCTAAAATCCGAATGTCCAATATCTACACCACCAGCAAAAAAAAAAAAAAAAAAAAATCTGAAAGCTTTCAGATTTTATTTTATGGGGCATTTTTTTCATTTATACACACATTTCGAGAGCATTTGGGCTAAAAATAATTAACCTTCCAGCGGGCGCGTTTTCTGCACCAACAAGAAAGGTTGCGCATATTTCCTAGATACGCTATTATAAAAAGTAAATTTTCCAGAGCAAAAACATTAAAATTATTTTGTAAATAGTTAAATGTTAATAAGTACAATTGAGTTAAACAATATTAACTTTAAAATAAGGAAAATAAAATAAGTATAAAACACAAAAACAATATAAAAAGGACCAAAGAATTACCAAACTAGAAAGTAAAACAAAATTAAACTGCCAATATTTCAACTGAACTTTTATATTTTTAAACAGTAAGTATAAAAACACATTAAATATTACATAAAAAAATCACTTTCATAATCACTTCATTGCAGTCTGAACAAATATGTTTACAGTGCTCTAGACAAATGAATTTTAAACAAATCTCACATCTGAACCTCATAATTCTAGTGCGCTTGTCATTTTGGCAGGGTTTGCATCTTTCCCTGAAGTCATTTCTTCAACAACACCTAATTCTGTTTTTCGTTTCAATAATGTTAATTTCAGCTCACTTTGAAGAGAGGTAGGGCTTCTTCTTTCAATGTTTTCCTTCACAAGAGCATTTGCTAGCTTTCGCAGATTTAAGTAATTTTTCACTATTTTTTGTTGAATGAATTATGGAGCTGTTGATTGCTTCTATTTTCAGCATAGAGAAGAAAACTACAAGAGGCCAACGTTTGGTATTCCTGGCAACATTGTAGGAAGCACAGAGTTTGTCCACTGTATCCACACCTCCTTTGGTACGATTGTAAAATGTGATAATCTCAGGCTTTTTTTGTTCCTGGGTATCTTCATCTATTGCTACGTCATCATGAAGATTTGAAATCAATATGATGTTTCTATAAACGTTTTGGTACATAGGAAAGAAGTGTTATATTTTTTCTAAATCCAAAAAGACTTGTATTGGGTTCCCGAGTTTTCATCAGCTTGAACTGATCCAGAAGTTGAGGTTTATTTTTTTTTTTTTTTTCTTTACATCTAGATCTCATACTAACTTAAAACTTGAAAACCAGTTTATCTGTGATTACATTTCTTCCAGTGTTATGATTAGAGTCTGTCAGCCATTTTACAACATCTTCTGGTTTGTTGCTTATGTAAAAAGGACAATCTGGCTGCACTCCAGCATAAATTTTCATACTGTATGTGTAAAACACGAGCGTCTACCATGGCATAAATTTTTATGCCATGTTTGTTCGGTTTTTTAGGAATGTATTGAATGAAACCACATCTTTCTCGAAATCCTTCTAATTTTTCATTGATTGTGACATTTTCTCCAAGTGAATAGCACTTTGGAAATTAGAGACAAACTTTTCAAAAATGTTTCTTTTTGGAGCCAAGTGGTCAACTTCTCTTCGTTCTCTGCTCTTGTGTTTATGTCATCAAGTCGTAAAGCTCTTAGTAAAAACAAAAATCTCTTCAAGTTCATTTACTACTTTAAAATCATCCATTCTTCACAGTTCCTCAAGATTAACTCTGTTACCATGATAAATACCAGCTAAGTAAAGTAAGCCCAAACGAGCTTTTATTTCTGCTCTGTGTCTCTGCTGTCCCTTATACGAGAATAATTAGATCTCACAGAAGAAATAAACTTTATTCATATCTTCAGCGATGATTTCTATCATACTATCAGTAAAGAGGCATTTCCATACATCCAAAATATCTGTTAGATATTTAGCTTCACCGATGACTCCAGGAACATGAACACATATGTTACGAGGCAGTCATTTAGTTTTCTTAAACGGTTCTTTATACCTTGTCTGAGAATCGATAACTTTTCTGTTTTTCTTTTGATGAACTATATACACTTCGGAAGCATTATCATCATTATTTTCCTCTTCTGAATTGCTCTCTGCACTTATCTCCGATTCTGAATCGCCTCCTCTTTCTGAAATTCGCTGTTCTTCATCTGTAATGCTTTCATCTAAAATAATGTCCTCATCGTCATCACTGCTGCATAAAAGCATATTTCTTATAATATCAAGATCCTTCGGGTCATTCATGTCGAGCATTTTACTTTTATTCACCATAACTGAAAAGAAAGAACAAAAATATCATACATGGTTGCACATATGTGACACATACAGTGCTTGTACTTTATCATTAAAAATAGTTACGCACACAAATTATACAAAATCATAAGCTTTAGATGCAAAAAAAAAATAAAGATTTTCTATAATAAAAAAGGAAATTAAATATAAAAAAAACTTACTTCAATGGTTGCGCGTATTTCTGGAATACAAATAGTAAATCTGTAGATTCCCATTATGCCCTCGAAATCCAGCAGACAACTGAAAGAAGGGTGAATGAAGAGGAGACAATAGCCAAGGACACGCGGGCATAGTGCCCTCTGGCCTACAAAACAAATGTGAAATTAATATCTAGTGTATCTCACACATACATGCCATTGCTGGAAGGTTAAAAAATGCATATATTTAGAATTTCCCTTAGACAGTCTTACATGCTGGAGATAAAAAATCTTCTATTCCTAATAGTGTTGCCACTGCTGACTTTAATATCATTGAGGTTTTTAATAAACAATTCAGTAAAACTATACGAAATAGATAATAAACATATTCAAAATTCAGCCTTTCAGGTGCCCATATTCGCATGGAGTACTACTTTATTCAAAATTTGATGCCTTTAGGTACTATTGTTTTTTAACAATGTTAGAAACATACTTCATGGAGATTCTTCATTATTTAATTTCTTTAAATATAGTAGAGGATGATAATATTTGGTGGCAACAATTTGAAAAGCAATTCGATGCAAAATGCCGTTTCGAGACTACCAGATGTACAAGAATGAAATGCAGATTTCGCACAACAGATGTGCACCAATGCAGTTTGTGCTATAAAGATTTGACACTGTGCCATTTTGTTGTGTCATCAACAAGTGTCAGATGTGCATGAGTGATAAATTGGAAAAGTGTGTGCATAGTGTTGTGTTGTTGTGCTCAGTATGTCCAAATTTATACCAAACATAGAGCATTTGCAGACAACATTAATTTTTTATTTTCATTTGAGGAAAAGTGCTGCTGAATCATACCGATTTCTTCGAGAAGCTTATAGTAGACATGCTGCATCGCAAGACACGTGTGAATGATGGTTTTGGCATTTCAAAAGTGGTGACTTCGATGTTGCAGACAAGGAATGTGGAAAGCCGTCAAAAAAGTACGAAAATGGGGAATTGGAAGCATTGTTGAATGAAGAATGATTCACAAAAACAACTCAAGCAGTTGGGCGTTGGTCAACAAACTGTTTCCAGTAGGCTACGAGAGATGGGAAAGATTCTGAAGACTGGTAGATGGGTACCACATCAGTTATATGACAGGCAAATAGAAAAGCACAAAAACAAGTGTTGACATTTTGCTTTGCTCGGTGTGAAAGGAAGTCATTTTTGCATCTTATCACAGGGGATGAAAAGTGGATTTATTTTGAGAATCCAAAGCGAAAATGACTTAGGTAGACACGGGTGCACCATCCACATCGACTTCAAAGATTGAATCGCTTTAGCAGAAAGCTATTTGGTGGGACCAAAGGGGCGTGGTGTAATATGAGCTGTTAAAACCTGGGGAAATGGTTAATTCTAAACATTACCAACAACAATTGACTGATTTGAACAATCTGCTGCTTGGAAAAAGGCCAGAATACTGAAAAAGATAACACACAGTCATTTTTCTGTATGGCAATGCTCCATCAAATACTGTAAAATTAATTGGTTTGAGGCATGTTGGAAACACGCAGCTAGGAAATTCTACCCTGTGCGGCTTACTCACATACTTAGCTCCTTGTTATCACTGAAAAATTCAAGTTACCTGCAGCTCAAACCTTCTCTGAATGTAAGAAAAAGGCGGTTAATCCTGCCTGTAGTCATATGCTTAGACATGCGTTGTATCGTATCTCAATTCTCGCTCAGCCACAGAATCTTGAGAATTGTTCTGGTCAATCACATAAGCATAGTGTACAATTTTGACTCTGGGCTGTTCTATAATAGAGTGTTTAGTGAGCAGTAGTCTTTTTTGTTTGGTAGCGGACGTCCTGGGCACAAAAGCCTTTAACAGCCATGGCTGTGGAAGGGTTGAGAGTTTGGCTACCACTCCAACTCTAAAGCAAACAAAATGAATTCGTTCATGTTCTTCCCTGAGTTCTTAATTGGAGAGCTGCATTTGATTCCTCTCATGTTTATTCTATTTGATATCCAAGTAAACAAATAGGTGACCCTGAAGAAATTGTGAATGTAAACAAAAATTTTTTCATACGGAGAAATACGGAGCTGACAGGGCTCTTCTACAGTACCTGAATATGCCGAGAAACTAGCAAATTCTTTCTTGTTTGAATTCCAAATAAAGAGGCAACTACACACATGGCAAAAATTGTTGACCATATACAAGAGGTATTCATGATTTATTCAGAGTGTTGCCAAGCATATAAAGCTGAGGAACTGGAGAGCATGTCAGAGACATTTTACTGTAAACCATAAATTTTATTTTGTTAATTGTCTAAGTTCTTTTACACTAAATGTTGAAAGACTGTGGTATTCCACTGAGTGTGAGAATAAAATTCAACAAAACACCGTTCGCCATCATAATGTGTTGAGTTCATTTGACTTGGGATGAAAAATGCTTCTTAAAAGTAATCGAGGACACATAGTAGCTCAAAATGCATGTAGAAGTAAAAATGAACTTGACGATCATTCTGGTGCCAACTATGTATTTAAAAAAGTGGGAGCTGTAATAATAAAGAACTATCAAAATTTTATACATTTAAATCCTTTATTCATTAGAGCTGAAAGCTTCTTCTTGCGTGTAGTTTTTTTTTTTCTTTTTCGTTTATTAAAAAATGTTTTGTTTACAGTCTAGGTTCTGTTTGTATGCTTGACTCCAAGTGAAGAGAAAATGGCTGATCGAACTAATATTAAAATGGAAAATAAGCCATCAAAAAACATTCCAGTCTCAAAAATACCTACATCAGGAAGAGATAGTGGAACACATTCACGTTCATCCTCTGTTTCAAATTTAACTACAGCTTCTGAAATTCAGTCTGGTAAGTGTTTATTTCTGAAGTACCTGATTTTTTAAATAAAAATTTTGGAGAAAGGACATCTGTTGATATTTCAAAGTATAATAGTTAACATAAGTAGATTAATAAATTAATTAATCTATTTATGTTTGCTTTCAAGAACATCTGATAGTTAATCATGAAAGTGGTATGTTAAAAAGCATTATTTTAATTTTGGCACCGTTCTGTTATCAGGACCAGATTCAGAAAGTGTATCTGTGTACGCATGTACGTGCATATAAATGTGTGTATGCACACTGACACATATGTATGTACATATATACATGCATGCATGAACACATCCATCCATCCATGCATGCATACTTACATTCCTGGGCTTGGTCTTGATAACAGAACAGTACCATAATTTTCAAGAAATTTTTAGACATCACTGAAAACGCCTTTAAAATTTTACCTTTTTAGACATCACTGAAAATGCCTTTTAAATTTTTTGAAATTGGTGAAACTATGAATTAAAACTTAATAATATTTTGATATTTTTTAAAGTTATTTTGATTGTAATTTGATAATCACAACAACCAAATGGAATTGCACTTTTCCATCAAGCAGAAAAGTTGGCAGAGATCCTGCCTAATTTTTGCTAACCATCCTATCCAAAGTTCCAAGAAAGTTACAAATAGAGTATGTATAAAACTTTAAATGAATAGAAGCTCAGATTCTTGGTGTTGTGTATCTGTTTTCAAATAAACTACCATATTTTACTCATTAATATATGCTTCTTCTGTGTCAGAATACCTACTGCATGCTATTCTGTAGATCTGGGGAACACTTTAAACTGGAATTTGTCTGTATTAGTTCTGCTGAAAGTTGTCCAAATAATTTTTCTCAAATTTTAAAGTTTTTGACAGGTCACTGAATCATACTTTTTTTTTTTTTTTTTTTTTTACATTTCACAATTGAGTAGCTTATTGCTGTTTCCTTATTATTCTCCTGAACATGATAGTTTAATGTAGATCCAAATCCCAGCAATGAGCTGGCTGCATGGGGTCTCCATGTACACTGAGGGAAAAAAGGGGGAGACAGTTCTGTATCTTCCATTCAACTGAGCCGATTGATAAAATTCAAATTGTGTTTTTCATGTCTTGAAAGCGCGGCTTAGGATATAGATTAGATTTATATATAACATTATTCTAACGTAGGTATTTTGACACAAAAGTGGTCTTTTTCTGAAATAACAACCTTTTCCTCCATATTTCGATTCTACGACTCAAATTATGCCTAGATATTAAATTTTGTAATTTTTTGTGAGAAATTTATGCAGAAATTTAAAAATTTATCTTGACAGTTTTTTTCAGTTTGCACCCAAAATGATTCACTTGGCGGAATTCTTAATTTATAGTAACCTACCTATTTTCTTTATTTTTCATTGTTGCGCCAGAGAAAAATGGCCCATTGTTCATTCTTTCAAATAATTTTAACAAAGTGCGTGAACCACATTTTCGTTATTATCGCTTATATTAAATACACCAAATTTCAAAACCGTCAAAATGTAAATTCACATATATCTTATGAAATTTTGAACAAAAAACTCTAATTTTTTGCAGATATGCTTAGAAATACATCTACTTTAAGATGCCTTTTTATAGGCTATAATACAAAAATTTTTCAAAAACTTTATAAAAAATATTTAAAAATATAAATTTTTAAAATAAATAATAAAAATGCATGAATTATATTTGGATTAAGCTTAAATTTCGAATTCTGGAAGAAGGAATCAAGTACAATAAAAAAAATCAAGTTTAATAAAAAAATATATCAAATTCAATTAATATTGAGGAGCTAAAATTTTGAGAGCTAATTTTTAAAAAACTACTCGTGCAATTTTTACAAAATTTGGCAGAGTGGCATAATTTGAGTCGTAGAATCGAAATCTGGAAAAAATTTCCATTTCAGAAAAGTCTAATTTTGTGTCAAAATACTGCTATATATAAATCTAATACATATCCTAAGTTACACTTTCAAGACATGAAAAACACAACTTGAATTTCATCAATCAGCCCAGTAGAACAGGAGATATAGAACTGTCCCCCCTTTTTTTGCGCAATGTTCAATTTGTTTCCACAAGAAAATGCTCTACAGAGTATCTCTCTTGGATAGTTAGTCATGTGTACTGTACCTTAAAATTAACCAACCAACTTTGTCATTTGCATGTTCATTTATATTATTCAAATTTCTCAAGATAATCTGTCATTAAAAATAATAAAAGAATATATTATTAAAGAATTATAATAATATATTCTTTATTATTTTTTAATAACAATAATCAAGCTATATTAAATTCACTAATTATGTATTATTAGTATAATATGCAATTTTTATAATTAGATGTTATTTCGAGTACATATTTTAATAAAAGAATTGTAATTTCTTCTATAAAAGAGAAGAGAACGTTATTTAGTCTAATAAAATAAATGAATACGTAAATGAAGAGTTTTGTCCTTTAATTAGTAGCCCTAGTGGAGCAATATTTGAAATCAAATATTCCTAAGAAAATGTTATCTATTGATCCTATAGGATGTGCTGGGCAAACATAAAAAATATCCTGGGTGTAGAAAGGGTATAAATTTAACATTGGAAGGACTAACTCGACAAATCTTTTGCCATAATAACCATAAATATTTGATGTGTGCACCACTTATATAGAAAACATCAATGAAAACATGTTTTCAGCCATATGTTGTGAAGTGTATTTGGTATAATTAAATTGAGAGCAACATTGATGCACTTTTGAAGATTATTCATTATTGTGTGTAGAAGTACATACACTTGGTCATTCAGAAATGCCCTACAGAAGAAAGTTGCAAACAATCGTGTAAAAAGTCGCAGAGAGTTAGATTATTTCAGTGGTCTTCCAGTTGTATTCTATAGAACCCCAGGGTTCCATGAGTCAAATCTCATGGTTCCGTGAGCCCAAACAAAATTTGAAAGGAAAATTATAAAGTACTCGCCCTAGTTGACAATGTTTATTAGCTAAAAAATATAAAGATCCATTTAGTTAGCTTTTAAATGCGAGCGCACCCCATTTACTAGGGTGCAACTGTTAGTGACATCTGGAGTATGAGTAAATTGCATTAATTTTGCTAAATAAAAAATAGAATGCTTTTTATTAATTTCTTTACATAAAATATGTATAACATATTGATATTTTGGGGTTCCCCCAAAATCTTTTCTAAGGTTTCCATGAGTTGATAAAATTTGAAGATGACTGGATTATTTGATCCTCAGTTTATGAGACAGAAGATTACCAGAGTATCTTTAATCTTTGATAACAAAAGCAACTTATTTCACTAAATGTTTAATGCTATTTAAAATGAATTTATGTGTAGACAGATCAATGTCAAAGTTTAATTTTGAATACATCCTCACTCTAAAAACACTGCTTGTTTTTGCAAATTGTAATATCCCTATCACTTCTAGGGACGCACGCGCTTACCCGGGACGATTCCGAGAAACGAGATTCTAGTAGCACTGCTTTAAGCGGGAGGCTTCCGAGAAATGTTTCGTCTAGCTGGGAGGAACATGTCCCGGCTACGAGCAACATTTTAAAACTTGTCCGAAAATGTTCCGGCTGGAGACGTGTTCCTCGAACGTTCAACCAATCAGACGAAAGTTCTGCTTCTGAAGGATAACGGGTAATTTTCAATATGGCGATGGCTCTCACTGTGAAGTCATGGACGGTGGAAATAGAGGCCGATTTAATTATTGCTGTTTTGTTGTAATACAACTGCCTGAGTCATTTTTTAAATGTGTATATATTCATTAAATATATAATCATGGAAATTTCAGAGTTGACAGTATTTTACGACGTTCTTGCAGTTTGGATTTTGTTTACAAATTGTTTGTCGCCAAACGTTCGCCAAATTTGTCGGATTTTGTGCTGATCGTGTATTATCACTATTATATAATAGAATTTGATTTCTTAAATTTAAGTTGAATAATTTTTTAAAATCCGTTTGTATATGTGCGGCTTTCTCCTAATTACTTATCTTTTAAATTGTTAATTGCATAATCAGTGACACATTTTAAACTGCATAAAAAAAGAAAAGCATAGCTTATGTAATAATGAGAATACTCATTAAATTTGTCTATTATTTTCATGTTATTAATGAAATACATTTTGGATTATAAATACATTAGAAACTATACTTTTATTATAAATGCTACATTGGAAACATTGGAAATTTATGGATTTATTATTATGCATGATGAAAAATATTTGTATATACATTCATTAATATAAATCTTATTCATTACATTAATACTAATAAATATATATTAACAACTTCTAAACCATCGCATCTCTCTATCTGTATGTAAAGATATGACTTATTAGATGTGTATATATATATGTATGTATTAATACAAAAATGAACATTGCCAAGAAGTTTATTTGAAGCTACTTTTAATTCAGATAACGATTATGTAATTGGCAGCAGCTATAGTTATCAGTTCTTTGCAAATTATTATGGGTATGTAATAATCAGTTGAAAAATAATTTATAAGTATTTGAGTACTAAAGAGTGTACACATTTTGTTATTGGGTTAATTAATAACTATATCATATGTATGATGTACGTAATAAAAACATGACTAATAAATAATAAGAAATGTAACAGCTGTGCATTTATAACATTTGATTACTTAAAACAGTGTACAACTGATTATCACCTTCATGTCTGTTTACATAATGAATTGCACTTTCCAATTAAGTGCATGTTTTGGCCTGCTATAACTGGCCGAAATGCATTCGTTGAACACTGGTAGTTCTGTCTCAGGTTAGAATGCCGCGAACGGGCTGGCTACATGACGTTTGCTTGGTTTGCCCCATTTGTAACTGGTATACGAGCGAATTTAAAAAAAATCTTCTATAAAGGGATCCCTCCTGTTAGGCAGATATCCCTCGAGGCTTTGCCATAATCACATAAAAGAAACTCATGATGTGCACCACCTAATTTCTAGAGTTG